CTGCTTCCACTTTTTCTTCTTCTATTTGCCACAAAATGATGGGACCAGATGCCGTGATCTTAGTTTTTTGAATGTAGAGTTTTAAGCCAGTTTGTTCATTCTCCTCTTTCACCCTCTTCGAGAGGCTCTTTCACTCCTCTTCACTTTGTCCAGACTATAAGTCATAATTCCCAGGGGCAGGTACAGGCATTGTATTTTTCCTGCCCATTCATACCCACCACGGCAATGACTCTCACATATACCACTGGCGAAAACCTCTACTCCCACCATTCTGTAGTTCTGGAATTTGATGAGTTGAGATTGGGGAAAGCCTGCAGGAAGTATAGATTAGATGGTAGAGATGCAGAATTCTGCTTGGTTACTTTAAGTAACTTTATCTTATTCAACTTTGTGTCTCACTTATCTTTATAAACACAATGCCTGGCACAGAGAGGGCACTAATAAAATGTAAATGTTAGAGGGGCTTGCAAGGACCTGCCTGCCAATGTAGGAGATGTTACAGATGAGGGTTCAATCCCTGGGTTCAGAAGATCCCCTGGAGAAGGCCATGGCAACCCACTTCAGTATTTTTGCCCGGAGAATCTCACGGACAGAGGAGTATCGCAGGCTATGGTCCACAGGATCACACAGAGTCGGACACGACTGAAGTGACCTAGCACGCACACATGCAACTATGAGCATCACATGACAGCTAAAGATCTGTATAACAGAAATAAAACCCTAGTTCATCTTCTAAAACGTCAATGGCTTGTGAGAAGGTGTGACATTCACATTACTTTTGCATCTTGTCTCTATGTACAATCTTGAGCATTCAGTGAAATCTTCATAAAATGTCTTAAATGTAATTTATGAGCATGTGTATTAGTTTCATGTTGCTGCTGGAGAAAATCACCACAGACTTAGTGACCTAAAACAACACAAATTTAACATCTTAGAGTCCTAATAGTCAGAAGTTCACAGTGTTGGCACGGCTGTATCCCTTTCTGGAGGCTTCAGGAGAGAATGTATTCTCTGGCCTTTTCCAGATTCCAGAGGCTGCCACATTCCTTAACTTGTGGCTCCCTTCCATTTGCAAAGCCATCAACGGCAGGTCTTTCTCACAATGCCAATTCTCTTTTTCTCTTTTTGCCTCTGCCTCACCCACTTAAGGATTCCTGTGATCACATTTGGCCCACCAGATAATCCAGGATAATCTCCTTATTTTAAAGTCAGCTGGTGAGCAACTTTAATTCTATCTACAAACTTAATTCCCCTTTCCATGCAACATGATATATTCATAGGTTCTGTGGATTAAAACATGAGCATCTTTCAGAGTGCATTATTCTGTCTACCACAGTACATAAGACTCAAAAGAAAAAAAAAAAAAAAACAAGAACAGAGGAAGAAATGACAGTGAATTTTTAAAATGGAGTAGTAACATTTACAATAGTAATAAAATTACAAATATATAAGAATTAGTGCATTAGACTATAAGCGTCAGTAACAAAGCAAAAAAAAAAAAAACTTAATACTATTAGTTTATTCCAAGAGCACACACACACACACACACACATACACAGAGTAATAGCTTGGTTAGCTGATGCCACAGCTGGGATATTACTGTTTATTAATTAGACAAATAAAATAAAAAATGAACAACATGTTTGCTAGTTATTATACTTTTGTAGAAAAAGTTCCTAAATGCCTTTCTTCCTGGAAAAGGATTTTTTTCTTACCGCTTCCATTCCAGCTCACTTCTAACATTTCCGGGAAAGTTCTAGGAGGATGGATAAAAGCCTTAGCGTTTCCCTCCCAGCTTAATCCATCACAGCGCCAGGATGGATGGTGACTATGCAAGTGTACTCTGGAGACAAGAGCACCGCTGGCCTGAATTAGAAGCAAAGGCTGGTCAACATCGCCCCCTTGTGCAGAGAGGCAGAGACATCACTCCCTCTGGCTACCCAATCGGCATGTTGCAGGAAATTTCTTGGCCGAAGCTCCATGGAAAATGGCTGTTTGGAGAGTGAAATTCCCCAGAGCTTTTAGAATCAACTCTTTTCATCGTTTTAAGCCTACTTATTGGGAAATCTCTCTAAAATATATTACACATAAGAAATAATCATACTGAGTCAATACTGCATGAAAGAATATAACGGCATAAAATAAATTATTCATTGCCTTGCCTTGTAAAGAGCACTCTGAATGCAACTTTAACTATCCTTTTTGGCTGTGAACCTCAGTCCATTTACTGTTCCATAGAGTAGATAAAACACCAATACTCTTTTGCACATTTACGACATTTTTTTAAGGTTTTTTCCATCATCGCTGTTTGGGTTTTTTGCCTCCTCTGTTATTTGTCAGTGGTCACTTTTTGATTTTAGGTTTGTCAGTGTGGCTTCCTTAGCAGCTTTCTTTCCTTTTTTGTTTGCTGTGGAAATAGTAACTAGGATACCAAGCTGGTTAGAATTATAAGTAAAAGGAGGTTAGATAGGCTCCCAGTAAAACCCTCTCTTACAAGTAAAATGTGTGAAATTTAAGACAAAACTAGAGTGACACTGCACACAGCACTGCCTGTTGCATTGGATTTCAGGGCTGTTTGACATCTATTTGGCTATTTTTACCTCTTTCCTATTTTTGTTCTGAATAGGTTAGTGTGAAATAGTTGTGTTTTGGCAAGATGGAATATTATTATATTTTTCAATATATCAAAACCATGAAACGGAATTTCCTGAGAATGAAAAAAAGAAAAGAAAAGCCGTATCCCTTTGAATGCTTATGGCAAATTGATACAAAACCAGGGATGCAACTTAAATATGAATTAATAGGAGAAAACACAAAAGGGTGACTCATCTGTATAGCAAAATACTATGAGATATGAGCTGTGTATACCACATGTACGTACATTGACTAGAAAATATGCTCACTGTCATACTGTTTAGTTTCTACCCTGGTAGAAAAATGCTCCTCTTTGGTTCCCCAGGGGACAGTGCTGAGATATATTTCAGAAGGCCCCTTGAGAGGTGCCAGCAGACTCTAGAACTAGCAGTACCCACAGGCTTGTCCCACGCAGTAACGCATCCTGATATTAGTTGCCCCTCATTCCGGGCTTCACTCCTCCAGTCCTTACTCTGCGCCCTTCAATCATCACTGCAAGTCATTGCACACAGCCTTTGTCTTGGCCTTTGGCTTTGAGAGAAGCCAGGTTTAAAAAAAAAAAGACATTGTCAGAGGAGAATATGATGAGCTGCCGCACCCACTTACATCCATGAGGGGAAGACTAAGAGAATGCAAGAAACTGATCCAGATCCATGGCACCAGTCTGCAACAGAACCATCTCCCTCTAGACATCTTGTTCCATGAAAAGAAGAATCCCCTATTAAGCTGTTGACAGCTGGGTTTTGTGTTGTTTGCAGCCACAGTACTTCTTGGGAGTATCTCACTTAGAGCTGAAGGCAGAAGGATCAACGCTCGTGTGGGAAGCCTGGGGGTGTTGGTAACCAGAGTTCCGCCTTGTGGAGAATGCTGGCGGAGACAGACAGAGGGAATGAGTCCTGTGGTTTACATTCTTCTGCCAGTGAATTCTTCTTTTTGCCTAAGATAGTTAGTGTAGAGTCTCTATCACTTGCAAACAAAAGTCCTCCGTCATTTAAGTCTGAGTTTATTTTGTTCTACAAAAAAAAAAAAAGTGGGCATGTGTGTGTGAGCGTATGTTCACTGAAGCATGGAAAAACATGAATGGATGTACTGAATGACTATCAGCAGCTGTTTCTGAGAACTGGAATAGAGGGGAGTAAGAAGGACATAGGCTTCCCAGGTGGCGCTAGTGGTAAAGAACCCACCTGCCAATGCAGGAGACAAAGCAGATGCAGTTTCGATGCCTGGGTTGGGAAGACCCCCTGAAGGAGGGCAGGGCAACCCACTCTAGTCCTCTTTCCCAGAGAATCCAACGGACAGAGGAGCCTGGAGGGCTACAGTCCACGGGGTTACAAAGAGTCAGACACAACTGAAGCAACTTAGCATGCAAGAAGGTCATATGTATAATTTTCACTTTCTGAACTTCTAATGTTCAAACTTGTTATAACCAACTTTATCATTTTTGTACTTTTTTTAAAAGACTAAAAACTGCAGAAATCCTGTGATAATGTGTGTGTTGTTTTGAGGCTGTTTAGTTTGAGATGTGTGGCAACTGAAAACTAATACACATGAGTCATCACAAACCTGAGAATCACTGCTTGCAAACCACCCAACAAACCTCAGGCAGACAACCACAAATCCCAAGGCCCGAATAGAAGCAGAAATAGGTGCTGAGTAAGGAACTGATGCCGGGAACTCGTATCCAATCGGCCTGTGACTATAGCCCCCTACCCTCCCAAACATATAATTTCCATTACTTCTAAAACCCAACCCAATAAGCCCACAATCTAAGTTAAAAACAAACAAACATAAAAGTGTGCCTGCCATGCAAATGCAGCTTTAAAGCAAGCTCATTTCCTGCCTAGACAAAAAAACCTAGAGCAGCCACAGCTTCCAGAGTCAGTGTCAACAGCCTGGAGCACTAAAGAAATGAGAGGTATGCTGGGTTAACTTAAGCAAGTGGGCTGACAGGATGGAGCCAGGTCCAGAGGGGATGGGGTCGTGGGAAAGGGATACACTGGCTCAGCCACACAAGCCAGCTGGTAGATGGACCAACGAAGAAAATAACAGGGACACGACACTCTCAGGGTTGAAATGGTGCCAGCAACTGGAGCACTGACAGGGGAAAGAAAATCAGGACCAGCAGGACTGATGCCGGCAGGATCCGGAGCAGTGGCAGGAGACACCAGGAACAGAACACAGGGGAAGACCAGTAAGAACCAGTGTGAGGCTTCGAGGCTGGGAGGCAGCAACTGATGAGAGCCAAGACCTGGGATTCCAGGCGGGGATACTGAGGCAGAAATCCAGGGATATGAGGAGTAAGAGCTACATATGCATACTTACTACATACTAAGTGCTTTAAACTCACAGTGCACTTAATTCTTCCAAATTTCTTGTGAAGGGGAACTTTTTAACCATCTCCATTTTTGAAAAGAAGAAATTAACATTGATAGAAGATACTGGTTTGCTCAGTCACATGCTAGTATATTGGTCAGCTTGGGCTATTGTAATAGAATACCACAGATCAGGTGATGTAAAGAACAGAAATTTGTTTTCTCAGCCTTCTGGAATTTCAAAGTCCAAGATCAAGGTGCTGGCAAGGTTGGTTTCTAGTGAAGTCTCTTTTCCTGGTTTGCAGATGGTTGCCTTCCTGCTGTGTCCTCACATGGCCTTTAATTTGGTACACAGGTAGAGAGAGAGATTTATCCTCCTCTTGTTATGAAGACACCAGTCCTGATGGGTAAGGGACCCACCCTATGACTTCATTTAACCTTAATTACCTTCGTAGAGGCTCTTATCTCTAAATACAGTCACATTGGGCTTTCGGGCTACAACATGTGAATCTGGAGGAGACGGGATGGGTAGGGGAGTGGGGAAAAGACACAGATCAGTGCAAAAGAGCTAATTAGTATAAATACAGACAGCGTGACTTCAGAGCCTAATACTCTTTTTGGATATTGATATATTATTGAGGTATAACTTAAAAGATTATAGTTCAATGAGTTTTGAATAAATGCATATACGTTCAAATAACCCACAGTCCTAGCAAGAACTATACAGTAGATCTTAACCTTGAGACTCCCTCTACCAGACTATCTGATGACAGGAGGTGATGCTACTGGTAGATTTCACAGCAGCCCGGAGTCATCTCTGGCACTGAATACACAAGGTCCATGAGCAGCAAGACTGGATTATGAACTCTCTTCTACGCACGCCCACATCCGCATGGGGCTCCCTGCCTGGCCAGTCCTCACCCTCCGCTGCTCTGGATTCCAGCAGACTGACCCTCCCTCTCTGTGTAAGGCAGTGCCTCTGGCATCTTCTCTGTGGCTCCAGCTCCTACCAAGTAGTCCCACAGTGGTTTCCACCAGATGACCCTTGTGCCTCCTCTACTTTGATAAAGAAGCACTTCCTCCCTGCTGAGTTCCAGTTCAGAAGAATCAGCGGCTTCCTGCTGTTGCTAGCCTCTGAGTCATCCTGCCACCCATTGCTTGGCTTCTCCGCTCTCCCATCTCCTATACCAACAGTTAGCTGCATTATATTTCGCAGATTCAGACACTCAGCATGGTTTCTCTTCTCCTGGCTATGCTTTTATAGTACACTGCTACAGCCCCTCAGAAACTGGGGCAGTTCTAGGCTTTGGATGGCGCCCATGCACAGACGCCGGAAGATGGAGGGCTCATCAGCAGAGATTTCTCCAAGAGAATACCAGAGATTATGTTTTTGTTCTTGACATGTTGACAACTTGCTGGTCTATCTTGTTAGCAAATTAGCACTTCCCTCCAATTCATTTGTTGCCCGTGGCTCACCTGTTTTTCAGGTGGACCTGTGCAAGCTGTCGAAACTAGAGATGCTTTTATCACATGGTTCTTTAGCTACTGTGATGACACTATGCTACTAATTGGACTTGTCAAACTGCCACATATTTTGCCCAAAAAAGTACATGTCTCTATGAAGTGGTTGGGGGGAAAATAGTGACTTTGGAGTGCAAAATTGGATACTCCAACACTGAGAAACCTTCAACAGCCTGTGGGTATCCCCTCGGATCCTGCCAACCAGCTGGGGTGGGGTGGGGGAGAAACCTTTGCAGAGGTTTAAAAGAGGCACAATGCCTGGTCAGCTCTAGTTCCAGTTTACGTCAAGCTGTAACTAACTGTAAAATCCATATTGAGTAGATTCCCAGGACTACCACAGAAGGAACCCCATCTCTAGTTTGGCTGCAAAACTAAGCCTTGGCTTCCAAGAGAGGGAACACCACGAGGCAGACTGCACCCACTGGCTCACCGCCCTGTATCTGGGGACTTCTCCAGAGATGCAATACTTCTAAGTCTCCTTTCCTCAGCTCCCACCTCCTAAGTGACAGGCTGTTGGCTTGTCCTGATTGCAGGAGTAGAAGTCCCGCTGTCTAGGGGGGAGAGAAACCAGACAGCTCCCACTTCTTCACTCTCTACGTGATAGATCACTTCAGCTGGAAGAAGTGTCGCTAAAGGACCTGGAAGCTAGTGGGAGAAATGTAACCCAAAAAAAGAAAGAAAGGAAGAAAGACTCCTTTAGTCACAGAGATTTTCACCCTAACCACAGAACAAGCTCTTGCTTTCTGTGGGAATAATAAAATCCCAGGCCCGCACTATACTAGCTCCTCAAACAAGAAGCAGCTCCCTAGACTGTAACTCCTCAGGGCTTCTGGGTTGGATTTAGTTTTCACTGGGTAAAAGAATACATTAAAAGGAAAGACTGCGTACCCTTAAGAAAATCAAAGGAGTAAATAAGCTTGCTGTTCACACAAGGGAAACGCAGGCTGCAGGCAGCTCTGCCCAGTGGTGGATTCTGCACCTGGTGAACAGACAGCGTTGTGCCTGCCCCAGCTGGACTTTCCCCACAGTGGACCGGCAGCTTCAGAGGTCCAGTAGACTGCCAGGGATGTCTCTCCCACCTGGAAAAATAGAGTGGAAAGGAAGGGCTGAAAGAGATAACTTCATTCCAAAGGAAAAGCACAACAGCTAAAAGTTATTATAAGAGAAGGATCTCACAGCAGGTGGCAGGAGCTATTTTAAGGGTAAAGAAATATTCTTGGTGGAGAAGTGTTTAGGAAAAAAGCACAAATAGTGCATGAATATCATATCAGAGGAAGAAAGTGTTCTTTCCAAAATAAAGAGCAGGTATGGAATTAGTTGTTTTCACATCACATAAGCCCAGTGCATGCCACCTCAGCCTTTCCTCATCTCACCTGGCTCCTGCCTTTGACCACCCTTTCCTCCAAAGGCAGCCAGACTCAGAATTCTCTGAGAAGAGTGTTCCTCTAAATTATTCATAGGACAGTTCTACCAGCTTCCTATCCTCCCCTTCCAAGAAGTATCTGCTATGTAATAATCCAGGGAAAATGAACAATGATTGGAACAAATAATGAATCACTCCTTGTAAAATTTCAGGAACTTGTAGATATTTCATGCAGGGAGGAATGTCTCTTACCCACATCCTAAATGGTACCACATAAAAATATGTCATAAACTTGACCTTTTTTAGGGTATGAGGTCCTGTTTTATGGGAATGAGAACATTATTTTTTAAATACTGACTTTCAAAAGTTGAGATCACTACTTTCAATTAAAATCTAAAGCAGACCAGAAAAATATTTATGATGTTATTTCCAACTTGTCTTCTCTTCCTCATAAGTGAACTTTGTTATCAGTAAAGATATGGGAAAGTGTCTTCAATAACAGCAACAAAAAAAAAAATTCTAAAATCCTATTTAATCTTGTTGTATTTCTTTTCTACCAGTGCACTTTTGGAAGTGTTTTACCCACATGATATTCTAGTCTTGGTAGGGATAAAACACAATTGACAAGTCTATGTCCATATTTACAACTGTTAGGGATTCCTACTATAATATTGACACTCTCAGTTCTCACTACAGTAAACTATTGCCAGGGGCAGACACAATAACCCCTCTCAATTGCATGCTTTTTCAATGTGACTCTGCTACTCCTTCCATCAGTGAAAGTGAAAGCATTAGTCACTCAGTCGTGTCTCTTTGCGACCCCATGGACTGTAGTCCACCAGGCTCCTCTGTCCATGGGGCAAGAATACTTCCATCAGTGGGTGGAGTCCATTTCCTCTCCACTTGAACCTGGGTTGGCTTTGTGACTTTCTTGACTCACAGAACTGGGCAGGTGTGAGTTCCAGGCACCCTTGTGGAGCCCCAAGCCTCCATGTAAGGAAGCCCAGGCTGTCCTGCTAGACAAGTCTCCTAGAGGAAGGAGCCCCAAGGTGCCCAGCCGACAGCCATACCCAGACATGTGAGTGGGACCGTGCTGCATCCTCCAGCCAAGCCATGACCAGCCCACACACGTAGAGCAGATGCATATCTTTTCCACTGAGTCCGCTCAGATTGCAGGTCTACAGAATCATAAGCAAATTACTGCTTTAAGCCACTGTGTTTTGGGGTACTTTGTTACCTAGCAGTAGATAACCAAACTACTGACCTTACACAAAATGACTAAATTGTGTACAGCTACCCAGATTTGGTACATCAAAGATGAAATACTTAACCTCAGAAAGCATCATCTGTCTGAATATAAAAATGTAAATGATCGAAGTTCAAATTATGCTCCAAATCAGAGGCCACTTCCCCCATAACCCCTGCTTCCCTTCCTCTATGGCAGCGGCCCTCAAAGTGTGGTCCTGGAGCAGCAGTATCAACACATGAGAACTTGTTAGAAGTGCAGATTCTTGACCTTCTATTGAGAGAGAAACTCCGAGGATGGGGCCCAGAAATCTGTATTTCAATAAGCCTTGCAGGTGAGTCTGATGCATGCTGAAGTGTGAGAACCACTGTTCTATAGCAATAACACTTCTGATGTTTAACTGGTATACCTGGCCTCCTGGATAAAAACCAGGTTAGGTGGCTAGGTAAGGCTACGGCTAAGTTCTGACAAATAAAAAGTAAGCAGAAATGGGAAAAGGGGTGTTCTCTCCTCTCATTCACCTTCATGCTGGCTGGAATTCAGATATGATGGATGGAGCCCTGGAAGCTGTCTTTGATCATGAGATGATCCTGGGAAAGGAATCCATGGACAGCAGAGAAATAAGGTAGAAGGAGCCCAGGCCCCTGATATTATGGAGATGCCACATTCCCTGACTTCCTGAACATGAGGAATTCCTATTTTCAGTTCTGTTTTTAAAGTTTTCTGTCCCTCACAATTAAATCCTACTAATATACCATTCTAAGTAGTACCCCTTCCCCTCACCAGCTGAAATATTCTTTAATATAAGAATATTTTATTTTCTTCACTTGTCACAAGCTATTCTTTAGGTTGTTTCTATTTTCATTTGCCTATTAACTGTCTCCCTATTTGACTGGAAGCTCATGGGGGCAGTTTTATTCATCATTAAATCCCCAGCATCCAACACTTTTATCCTTCAAACAAGGACTTGGAGAATACTTACTGAATCAAATGGACAGATGAAAGGATGGATGTAGGAAAGCCACATTTTTTCCTGAGATCTTTAAGCACTGATAAAATGATCAAGCCTTCAATAAATCTTTTTACATCCAGTAAAACTGTCTCCCTACATCTTATCTGTTCCACAATGTAATATAAACATGAAGCAATAATAGTAACTAACACTTTTATACATCTTGTGTGAAAGTCACTCAGTCGTGTCTGGCTCTTTCTGATCCCATGGACTGTAGCCTCCGAGGCTCCTCTGTCCATGGAATTCTCCAGGTCAGAATACTGGAGTGGGTAGCCATTCTCTTCTCCAGGGAATCTTCCCAACCCAGGGATTGAACCCAGGTCTAACACGTTGCAGGCAGATTCTTTCCCATCTGAGCCACCAGGGAAGCCCAAGAATACTGGGGTGGGTAGCCTATGCCTTCTCCAGGGGATCTTCCTGACTCAGGAAGCAAACCGGGGCCTCCTGCATTACACCATAACAAGTTCCTAAAGAGGCACATACTATAATATACCTTACCGGTATTCCTTAAACCTGTCAAAATCATCAAAAACAGGAAAGTCTGAGAAACTGTCACAGGGAACTTAAGAAGACATGACTAGAAAATGTAAACTAGTATTCTGGATAGAATTACGGGAACAGAAAAGGGCATTAGGTAGAGACAAAGGAAATCTGAATAAATTAAAGACTTTAGCAAATAATAATATGTCAATATTGGTTTAGTAATTGTAACAAATGTATCACACTAATACAAGATATTAATAGTAGGGAAACTGGGCACGGGATGGGGGAAGGGAAGCGGATGTAGGTATATATTCTCTGTACTATCTGCTTACTTCTGTAAATCTAAAACTGTTCTAAAAAAATGAAGTCTACTTTTTAAAAAAGACATATATTAATTCTCATGAAAACTGAGATGGGAACTATGATGAGCCCTATTTTACAGATAAAAGAGTACCTTAAGTTCAGTTTCCCCATGTCTTTGAGACTTAGAATATACGTCTCTTCTGCACCAAAATGTATTTGATTCATTTAAATAATGTGTATTGATTACTGTCTGCCAGTCACAGACTGAGCTTAGGCGATTCTATGAAGAGAGGCACAATTAGGAAGGCAGAAAGAGCTTTGTATCTACCTACTGAAATTAAAGAGCACGAGCAAACATTTTACTAATAAAGTGTGCACAATTCTAAAATGTATTTTACATGGTGACAGCACATACACTCCTTCAATAGCTAGAAACAACTGAGCTTGACATCTAATTATCAAGAATAATTATTTAAATATGAAGCCACCAGGTGGCATAGATTTTTAAGAACACATAAGTCATGTATCAGAAGTTACAAGGCTGTTTAAGAATGAATTTGTATCTTATCTCAGCTACTAAAATCACAAAGGCTCTATCTCTGAGGACAATCCCCAGTCTATGCTGAAAGGACACCTCAAAGGCAAAAACGTCCTGTGTCATTGCATTCTTTTCTGAAGATATTCAGTGTAAACTTCCTTCACTGTTATTTTCGCTGGTATAACCTTAACATTTTCATTACTGATTACTCCACTGATCAAAACAAAGGTTTGGCACCTTGGCTGATCAAGCGACAATTCCTGGCCCATGCCAGTCTGACCATGAAATGTTATACATGCTCACTATAACATGGTATACCAAGACAAAAATAAGCTTTCTTTTTTTTTTTTTTTTTGCAAAGTGTATTACCTCTGGGGCTTCTTGACTTTCATACCTGGAACTGTAATCAACAGGTAGACTCCAATCTATCCACTTGAAACAATAGCCAAGGGAGCACTTTGTACCCGTAACTTCAGTGCTTCTTGTGATTCCTTTAGCCGCCTCACTGTATTTAGCCTTAAAAGTTCAGCTGAGCATTAGGTCCTTCACAAAGTTTTAGCCTGCTCAGTGTGGGCCATGGCACCTTGTACAAACCTCAGTCATAGTATTTACTACAATTCAGTACATTTTAACAAGTAATGAATGAATGAAGATGAGGTACCATTCTGGTCATCTGGGAAACATCAATGAACAAATCAAAGATGCCTACCCTTGTGAGGAAAAGTATATAATAAACAAACTATAATAAGTAAATTTTATAGTATGTTATAATGATAAGTGCTATGGAAAAGTAAAGGGCTTCCCTGGTGGTGGCTCCGTGGTAAAAGAATCCGCCTGCCAATGCAGATGTGGGTTCAATCCCTGGTCTAGGAAGATCCCCTGCAGAAGAAAATGGCAACCCACTCTAGTATTTTTGCCTGGGAAATCCCAGGGACAGAGGAGCCTGGCAGACTGTAGTCCATGGGATTGCAAAAGAGTTGGACACGACTTAGCAACAGACCAACAAAAACATATGGCAAAAGAAAACACGGAGTGGGTTAAGAGGGCTGGAATGGACTAGGGTACAGAAAGAGGTTCAAGTTATAGTACTTGAACTATATATTTTATATATAGTTTATATATATATATATTCTT